CACGGCACTCTACCCAGGGGGACAGCTTGAGGCTCCTGTCTCAAGAAAAAAAAAAAAAAGAAGAAAAACTGAGGTGATAAAGGAATATACTATTGAAAAATATTCTAAACTCGACTTTAAGTCACTGTATCTACAGTTCCACAATACCCAAGATCCTATTCTCCCATATATTACACTCAGATACCACGATGTAAAGATTTGAAAGGTAGGTGGTGCCTGTGGCTCAAAGGAGTAGGGCACCGGTCCCATATGCCAGAGGTGGTGGGTTCAAAACCGGCCAAAGGCAAAAAAAGATTTGAATGGCAAAGCAGTGTAAAACAAATTTAATTATTTAATTACTTTTCATTGAGGGTGCATCTTCGGTCTGTCGGATGACCATTATATGACTTTAGACTCTCAGTAAGCTCTGTGTACAATCTGTCAGCCATCGGAAGAGGAATGCCCTCCCACACCATGATGAGCACCACCATCACAGCTGCTGGACAACGGTGGCCAATACGCTTCCGGACCAAACAAAGAACTTTTTCTTCCTTACTGCTTCGTCTTATAACCTGGAAAAATAGAATGCATTTACCTATGGAAAACAAGTATCCACAATTCAAATGCAATGGATATTCCTTTTAAAGCTCTATATGATTATATTTTAGTTTTGTTTTTAATTACTATTTTTCAAGGGATCGAAGCTTATAAGACCATCCTTGTCTCAAGTTGCGTCCAAGTGACTCATCACAATAGAATCTCATGATTAACAGGCAAAACAGAAACCTGTGGTGGATGATTATTATTTGTAAATGTAGAACAAAGCAGTCTATTTTGCACCAAGAGACAACAGAGGGCCCAGTGGGAAATTTAACTAACTGCTGTGCATGTCCACAAATGTCACAATAGAACAAATGTAGTTAGATGGAAATAAAGAGCTCCCAATATAAAAAATAAACTTGAATAATGACATTTCACCATCTGAAGATGTTTATGAATTTGTTTGTTGAGTGACTCATTTTACAATCCAGAAAAGTATATACATTAGCAACTTCCCTGCAATTTCTCTGACTTTTTCATGTTATCAGAAGGATGCCATATAATACTTGTTTTACTTCGAAGACTAATGTGGTCCAGCTAATGTGGTAAATGAAAAACACAAGTAATTTTCAATATTCGTACATTTGTCTTATTCTGCATCATACCTTTAGAAAGAGAAAAAGGATTCAGAATTATATAAAATATTGCCCAATGGTCCTAGTGTTTACTTTAAGAAATTCTATAGGCCAACCAAGGTGGCCACACCTGTAATCCTAGCACTGTGAGAGGCCCAGGCAGGAGGAAGACTTGAGCTCTGGAGTTTGAGATCAGCCAGAGCAAAAAGGAGACCCCCTTCTCTACTAAAAAGAAAAAACTAGCTGGGCATGGTGGCATATAACTATCATCCCAGCTACTTAGGAGGCTGAGGCAGGAGGATCACCTGAACCCAAGACTTTGAGGTTGCTGTGAGCTATGTGCCACAACACTATGATGTCATTAGCTTGGGGGAACAGAGTGAGACTCTGTCTAAAAAAAAACCTACAGAAAAGTTGCAACGACAGAAAATCGAACTGTTGAAAAATCCCTCCGTATGGCTCAAATTTACAGAGCAGAGAAATAGACCACATTAATCAGTCCACAATTAGTTCAAGATGAAACTGCCCACCCACGTGACCAAAATGGAGCAACCAATAACATAATTTTAGATGAAACTTCTTAAGACGTTAATTACCCAATATCACTTTCTTCTGTCACTCCAGATGGTTAACAATCATTGCTACCAAGGCATTCCTTGAGTAGAGTTGGCTTTAGGACCTTCCCCCTAAACACAATTATTTATATTAAAATTTTTTCTATATTTTTATGTCCTTTTACAGCCAAATAAGAATACAGTGCTTGCAAATAACCTCAAATACAAAATAATATATATTATATCAAACAAAATTATACCAGTTAATTTTCATGTTCTCAAATTAACGAATATATATTAACGAAGCCTTTGTATTGAAAATGGTAAAATGCTTTTTAGTGATGGTATTTGTGTTTTCTCTGCCTTTTCTAAATTTCCTTCAGTGTATACTGGAAAATTACACACAATGGTTATAGACTTTGTCTTTAAATTCAGGTCTACATTTAATAAGCGTCTTAAGTATTAAATCTGTAATCTCAGCTCCTAAAGAAGCTGAGGTGGGAGATTGATAGAGCCCTGGAGTCCCAGGCTGCAGCAAGCTATCACCGAGCCACTGTACTCCAGCCAGGTCACAGCCCAACTCAGCCTCTTAAAACAAACAAAAAGGAAAAGATACAATTAAAAAAAAAAATAAAGTAAGCAAACAAAAACCCTTCACACAAAAAAAATCTTCAGAGGTTAATGGATGTGTGTTCTTTGAAAAGCGACTGATTTATTCCAGAGTTTATATGGAAATGCAAAGGACCAAGTTAAAAAAAAAAAAGAAAAAAAAGCACAAAGAGAAAGTGACTTGCATTTACAAAGTAGAAACTTTTCAATACCTGGCACGTAACCACTTGAATTATATTGTATACCTAAATATTAAAAATAAAATAGCCAGACGTGTGGTATGGTGGCGTATGCTTGTAATTCAATCACTCTGGGAAGCCCAAGTGGGTGGATCGCTTGAGCTCAGGAGTTTCAGACCAGCCTAAGAAAGACCAAGACTCCATCTTGTCTCTACCCTAAAAATAGCTGGATATTGTGGCAGGTACCTATAGTACCAGATACTAGCTACTCAGGAGGCTGAGGCAAGAGGATCACTTCAACACAAACAAGAGTTTGAGGTTGCTGTGAGGTAGGTTGATGCCATGACACCCTAGCCCAGGTGAGGGAGCAAGATTTTGTCTCAAACAAAAAAAGTTTCCTTGCCAGTTGGTCATTAACCCTACAGGAACCCACCACAATAACTGGCTAATTTTTCGATTTTTAGTAGAGATGGAGTCTTGATTTTGCTAAGGCTAGTCTCCAACTTTATAGATCAAGCAATCTACCCACCTCAGCCTCCCAGTGCACTAGAACTGCAAGTATGAGCTACTGTGCCTGGCCAGGGCAAGGAGATATTTTAAGAAAATAGAAAAACTGGCTCAGTGCCTGTAGCTCAACCGGCTAGGGCACCAGCCACATACACCAGAGCTGGCTGATTCGAATCCAGCCTAAGTCGGCCAAACAACAATGACAACTATAACCAGTAAATAGCCAGGTGTTGTGGCAGGCACCTGTAGTCCCAGCTACGTGGGAGGCTGAGGCAAGAGAATTGCATAAGCCTAAGAGTTTGAAGTTGCTGTGAGCTGTGACACGGCAGCACTGGAATAAGGGTGACAGCTTGAGATTGTCTCATAAAAAAAAAAAAAAGAAAAGAAAAACGTGGACAGCAAAAACAAACAATGAGAAGGGCTCAAAATACAGTGCTGCCCATTTAGAATTTCCTGTTTGACTTTTTGTGTTCGACCATTAAACAGAGTACCAAGGAATCTCTCTCCTCTAAGATAAGTGCCATACAATTAAAAAAAGGGTGGAGCTGAATTGTCCTGGTATATATAACCAAACCTAAGCCTTCATGTGAAGATTTTAAAAAGGAAATCATGAAATCAAACCTTGATTTAGGTTAATGTTTAATAAAAACACACAAAAACTACCCTCAATGAATCACCAACAATTTAAAAAAAAAAAATCAAGAAAAAAATACAGGGGCGGTGCCTGTGGCTCTGTCAGTAGGGTACCAGCCCCATATACTGAGAGTGTTGGGTTCAAACCCAGCCCCAGCCAAACTGCAACCAAAAAATAGCCAGGTGTTGTAATAGGCGCCTGTAGTCCCAGCTACTTGGGAGGCCAAGGAAAGAGAATTGCCTAAGCCCAGGAGTCGGAGGTTGCTTTGAGCTGTATAACACCACAGCACTCTACCAAGGGCAACAAAGTGAGACTCTGTCTCTACCAAAAAAGAAAAAAAAATACACAAAAAGGAGGGACCTGTGGCTCAAAGGAGTAGGCCAAGTGTCGGCCCCACATGCCGGAGGTGGCGGGTTCAAACCCAGCCCCAGCCAGAAACTGGAAAAAAAAAAAACCCACAAAAAGTATATACGTTCCATGAAGAACTGTACATTGGGAGAAATGTAATTCACTAGTTGAATGCTAGATTCGTTAGTTCAAAATTATTATTTCCTTCCCACTTTCCCATAGACTTGTACGAAATTTAAATTGCACTAGGGCCATTCAGAATTATCTGGTAAATTCCTAAAAAAATATGCAGAATTTGTTCATCTAACCCAGGGGTCCTCAAACTTTAACAGGGGGCCAGTTCACTGTCCCTCAGACAGTTGGAGGGCCAGACTGCGGGCCCCCAGGACGAGTCAGCTGCTATGCAGGACAGGCAGCGGTGGAACCCGGTGGGCCGGATAAATGTCCTAGGCGAGCTGCAGTTTGAGGAGGCCTGATCTAACCTCTAGCTAAAGTTCAAACTTGGATTGGACAAATTCACTAACCTATCTTAAATTGCTGGCTGTAGTTGCTCAGGCCTTAAGACAATAGCCAGTAATAAATACCACAGCAATACTATGTCAACCTACCAATATGAATTCAAAATACTCAAATTTCCTTTTTTTTTTTTTTTGAGCTAGTGTCTTGCCTCTCACCTGGGCTACATATAGTGCAGTGGTGCCATCAGTCTCACTACAACCTAAAGCGATCCTCCTGCCTCAGCCTTCTAAGTAGCTGGCATTATACGGGTGCATCATTATGCCAAAATAATTTTTTTCTGGCCTCCAAAAATGCTAGATTATAGGTGTTAGTCACCACATATGGTCAAATACTGTTAAATGGCTACTGTGAAACACCATACGACTAAAATACTGTTATTTATTTATGGTCCATATTATTTCACTCTGCATATATTTATTGAATGCTAATGGTATGTTGGGCATTGCTCTTGGCAAAAAGCAGTGAAGAGCTACAGAAATGTGGTCTTTAAAGCGATGGAGTTTATATTTGCCCTTATTAGGGGGAAAAAAAGCCAGTTTTATCATCTTGCAAAATGGGTGAAAAAGTTGAGAAGCCAAATATTAAAAAGAAAGCTGAGGGCTTGGCGCCTGTGGCTCAAGTGGCTAAGGCAGCAGCCACATACACCTAAGGTGGCAGGTTCCATTCCAGCCCAGGCCCGCCAAAACAACAATGATGGCTGCACCCAAAAAATACCTGGGCGTTGTGGCGGGTGCCTGGGATTCCAGCTACTTGGGAGGCTGAGGCAGGAGACTCTCGAGCCCAGGAGTTAGAGGTTGCTGTGAGCTGTGATGTCACAACACTCTACCCAGGGGGATAGCTTGAGGCTGTCCCAAAAAAAAAAAGCTGAGGCCAAGAAAGCCAAGAAAAGGAAGCCCCATGGTCCCCCAAATCTTAATCTCAACAGGAATAGGCAGATATTCCAGAAAGGTGGTGTATAAAATGAAATGTTTAGTAGCTGAGTCCAAGTCAGTAAAGAAAATGAAGGTGAAGTTCCTTGCAACTATTTTCAAAAACCAGCTGGTGGTG